AAAAAAAAAAGCACCCCTACCAGGCAAAAAAAAAAAAAAACCGGAGTTCCCGCTCACCGTGAACTCCGTGAACTACCGGCGTTCACGAATTCCGTGAACGGTGACCGGTCTCCGTTCACAACCCCCGTGAACGGTGAACGGGGGTACGACACTGCTGGGTTTGTTATTATCGACACGCACTTCCCACCCTACTCAATATTACTCCCCTTTAACGAGCTGATCGTCATTCCGTGGACGGGAGTGGTACCCCATAAGCCTCGAACCCTGTGCACAGTGTCAGAGTTTCGATCGCTACGAAGCAAAGGGCTTCCACTACCGAATACGGAGTGAGGACGAGCATAAGGAAAGAGCCACGCGTCTGCGACCCTCCACATCAGACTCAGAACTGACCAGCGAGCGACGACGGGATTTGATCCGAAAACGAGACACGTGAAGCGTGCCGAAGCCCTTCCGCTGTAAACGATGGGCCTTAGCGCGGTGGGAAGCTCGACAATACTTTTTGGATTGAATTTCGATTTTTCTCTTTTCGCTCCGAGCCCGCGCGCGCATTCCATCACGCGCGAAAGCAACCGACTTACTTCATCGGACCAACACGGGGGATTTCAGTTTCGTCTGTGTCCCCACACTCAATTTCCAAAAATCCTTGGCACACCCCATTTTGCTGTTTTTCTGGGCCTCTTTCCGCACATCTAGCACTCCGAACGAAAGACAACACAGGGTGTGAGGTTGGTATCGGAGCCAACACGTGTCGGTTCTGATGATAGTAAGTCGAACTGGCGAGAGGTAGAAGAAGAAGTCCCCCACCCGCTCGCCGAGATCGCCCATTGACCAGATCTATATCGGGTGCTGCTATACCAGCTATACCGATGGTGGACGGTAATAGGGTAGTGGTTAGCATCCCTGCCCCTTTCCCCTTCTTCCCTAATCATACCCACCCCGAAGCTTGGCTGGAAGCCGTTGAAGCTCAAGGTTACAGCGCGGGTGATCTTCCCCGCGTTCTTACCCTGCTACTCCGTAATAGAAAGCACACGCGGGTAGATTGGAATACTTCCAAACAAGCATTCTTGGCTCGATTCGATACGGTCAGTGAAGATGTTGCCTAGTACGTACTCAAAACTCGACCACAAGGACCAGGGGAATTATTGCCCGATTTCGTGGATCGATTTCAAACCACGTTGGACAAATCTGGGCGAGACGAGAAGTCCGCTCGAGATCTGTTCATCGATCACCTACGAAGTCCGGCGTTGAAAGGGAAATTGGAAAAAAAGGTCCCGCCGAAGACACACCAGCTATCGGCTATCATCGCTAAAGCGTTGGAACTGGACCTGGCTGATACAAAAAAATATATCAGTCAGGGAGACGAGGATATTACAGATACCATACGGGATGTAGCGGCTAAAAGGCGATCGTGGCTGTGAGCGGTAGAACGGATCTATCCCCGCCCCGACCATGACCTTCCCGACCGGATTGTTTCCGATATCCCGCCTGTTTCGTCTTCCTCTCCCCCGGTGAATCAACCGATCGCGACAGTTAAAAGCGGAAGCTCACCCGAACCCCCCTCGCCGACCATAACCAATTTACATCTTGCCCAGATGATCCACACGGCCACTACCAAGCAGTCCGAATGGATGAGCAACTTGATCCAAATGCAGGCCGCTCATATGGAGTGGATGAAACAGATAATGAGCCGGCTAATTAAGCCTACCTCGGTTCCTGCTCGGCCTGCCCCCGCGTCATTTCCACTCTTGCTTGCCCCGCCTGCACCAGGGTACGCACCTCAGTTCCCTCACCCAGCTAATTCAGCAGGAAAGATCGAATGTTCTAACTGCAAGCAGCCCGAACATTTCGCCCGAGACTGCCTGCAACCAAAGCGTAGTCAGCCCCCACCTGCGGCGGCCCCTGTGGCCCTGAATCAAGGACGAATGGTCGCTTTGATGGATACGGCCCAGGGAGGAGAACTCGTAGCATATACCCCAGAACAGCTTTCCCCCTCGACGGCAACGACATCGACGTCGGGAGCTTCTTCCGTTGACGCTGCTGACGTGGTCGATCCACTCGAGTATCTTCATCTTGCAGGAATGGTCGGAGCGATCCGATCGGCCCCTGATGATCTCGAATGGGTCGATCGCGAGTCCAATCCAGGTCCGCAGCTTCGGACGGGAGAAATTGATGTGTTACGGGCGCTCAAGCAATTGGATATCCGTGTTCCGATCCCGGTGGGACATCTGCTCACCATATCCGAACTGACAAATGATAAACTTTTGCAACATTGTCAGAAGAATCAAAAGCGCTTCATGTACCAGCGCATCCAACGAATGTTAAAGAAGGAGGAGGAGGAAAGAGAGGATGTTGCACCGCCCGAACCGGAAGCCGCACGTGTAGCAGCGATCTCTTTAGCAGAAAAAGATCACTTCGTACGAGCTCGGCCGGTACTGTGAAAAAGTGCGGACTGTGATTGTGAAGTTTGGGGCAAACCGTTTAACGCCCTTATCGACATAGGGTCTTCTGCAGTAGCTATTTCATTAGACACTGTCAGGAAGACGGGACGACCCGGATCCATTCTTCCTCAATCTGGCAACGACAATTATGTCTCTGTTGACGAGGAAGCAATGAATATCGTGGGCGTTATTGAGAATGTGGCTGTGAAAGTCGGGCGAGTACACGTCCTCGTTAACGCGCTCGTGATAGATGTGCGTTCCTATTCCGTGTTGTTAGGGTTACCTTGGGCGATGGCGGTGGGCACACGTTTGCATTTTGATTCCAAGCAACTGGTGCTCATGCAAACTGGGGGAAAACCTCAAACTGTTTCTTTGCGAATTTCTACCAGAACGATAAAACAAACTTCTAACTCGGCTCAAATAGGGATGATTCGAGGCATTGACCCCGAGGATTATTCCTCCTCGGACATAGGCAACAAAATCAGGGAGCAGGAATACGAAGAAGAACTGCCTAGGGAGGATGAATGGAAGCACCTGGTCAAGCTTTTCGAACACGAAATTTCCGAAGAATTTCAAGTGTGCCCCGACACGGCCCGAAGCTTCCACGTGGATTTAGGAGACAACACGCTTGCGCCTCCGAAAGCCCAAGTCACCGAGGTCAGTTCTTCAGTCCTCCTCGGGGAACCCATATTACAATTGTCTGATATGGCTGATGATTTGGAACCCCCTCGTACCCTTTACGAGGGAGCACTTTCCTTACGAACACGTTATCAACAAACGAAACATTATCTAGACGTTTTTTGTTTTCTCACCCCGATCGTTACTAACAACGGGGGCGACCATCACTTTGATTAAACAGAAGGCAGAAGCGCCGGTAGATGATGTGCCTGATCTAATGCAAGAGATGACGGACCTAACAGGACTGACTGTGGAGCAGATTTCGGCCGATTCAGAAACTGGCGCCGAAACTAAAGAAACCGAAATGATCAATCCCGCCGAATCACAGATGATTGCGACTGTCTTTTCTATTCGCACCAGCAGTTCTGTCTTTTCCAGTATTTACGATCGAAGGGAGCGGCCGGTTGATCGGATCGATATACCCCTTAAGACCCCTGAGGAATCAACAATCACCCTACCAAGCCACATCCCCACGGAACTTCGAAAATCACTAATCGATGTCTTGAATGGTTATGCAGAAGTGTTGAGTGTGCATGATAATGATATCGGCTTGACTAACGTGATCGAGCATGCCATCCTCTCGGGAGAATATCCGCCCGTTAGCTGCGCTCCTTACCGATACTCGCCAGCTCAAAGAGCGGCCGCTTTTCAGCGGATTAAGGAATTCAAAGCTAATGGATGAATCAAACCCGCTTTAGGTCCATGGTCCTTTCCTGTAGTAATCATGCCTAAAAAGACCGGAGGGATTTGCATTTGTATTGATTATCGAAAATTGAATGATATCATGATCAATGATGTGTACCCCCTCCCCCAGATTGATGAGTTGTTGGATGCGATTGGGAGTGCTCGATTTTTTAGTAAGTTTGATGTCCGCCATGGGTTCCATCATCTTCTTGTTCGAGAAAAAGATCGTCCGAAAACGGCATTTGTGCTTTTCGAGGGTACGTGGTAGTGGGTCCGATGTCCGATGGGTATCTGCAACGCTCCCGCGACCTTTCAGAGAGCCATGAATATGGTTTTTCAGAATTTCGTACGGAAGACTCGTTTGGCGCAGAGCATCATCAACTATTGCGTGATTGTGTACATGGACGACGTCCTGGTGTACTCGAGTTCCTACGAGGGACACATACAGCACATCGAGTGGGCTCTGCATGCGTTACGAGATGCGGGTTTCAAAGTGGCGCTTGAGAAGTGTCAATTTTTTCTTACCACCATTTCCTTCTTGGGACACGTGGTGACAGACAAGGGACTCCAACCGGAGCCGTAGAAGGTGGCAACTGTCAGGGATGCGCCGGTGCCTACGACTATCACACAAGTTCGCGCCTCTCGGGGCCCGGCCTCATACTACCAAAGATTTATCAAGGGTTTCGCGGCGATTGCGGGACCCCTCACAAATCTGTTGCGCAAAGATCAGTCGTTGATCTGAACGCCGGAGTGCGATCAAGCGTTTTCCAAACTCAAGGTCACTCTCATTTCGGCTCCGATCCTTATAAGACCGGATCCCGAAAAGCCTTTTGTTCTCATCACTGACTGGCAGCCAGAGGCAATTTCGGCTATTCTCGCCCAAGTGGGGCCAAGTGGACTCGAGAGCGTGGTGGAGTATGCGTTCAAATCGGTGCCCGCCTGCAAACGCAACTACGTCGCCCCGACGGGAGAATGCTATGCGGCTCTCTGGGGAATCAGTCACTTTCGCGCCTACCTGTACGGGCGAAAGTTCACCTTGATAACCGATCATGAGCCCCTGTTGGCTCTGAAGAAATCGAAGGATTACTCGGGCATGATCGGGCGATGGGCAACGGTGCTGCAGAGCATGGATTTTGACATTCGTCATCGGAAGCACGAGAGACACG